CCTTAAACAGGGTAACTCCTTTAGAAAAGCTTTTTTCCTATTTAAAGATCTATACCTACTAGATCGGGTTTCCAGACACCTCTGGAATCTCAGTCAAGGCAAATACCAAGTGCAATTTACAGAAATGGTTTGTAGCAAAGAAAGGTAAAATAACCCACACACTAATGCTAGAATTATGCCCTGAGGTACATGGTTTTGGGAGTCTATGGGTTAATTCCTCAATTGGATGCAAAACTGTCAGCTTATTGCATTGTTCTGGGCAGAATCCATAGCTTACAGATTTACATTAGTCTGTGAACTAAGTTAAAAACCACTGTTCTAATACAAGGGAGGACCACGAGAAGGGGGCCAACCAGCAGAGCAGAATCCACCCTGTCCTCCACTGCTCCTAAAGACAAACTGAAGTAAATGGGGGGCTCGCCGATGGTTGGTCTGTCCAACTCCCCATGTCAACCTGTGCCCCAGAGAAGAGGAAAAGATGTGTGTCATCTCCCTACTCATCCTCCCCACCCACCTTGGTTGGTTTTATCTAAAATCAACACAAATACCTGACTCACCGACCCAGAGACCAGTATGTTCTCAGAAACAAGAGACTTGGTGAGCCAAAGAAAGTACTTCTGCTTCTAAGGAGCAGAGTAAGAGGAGGAAAAGAACTCCTTTTAAGTTGCCCATCTCCAAGAGGTAGAGACAGGAACCACATGAGACAAAAACAAATCAGACCCTCCCCTCAGTAAGTTTTTCTCAACTTCCTCCAGATGTTTCTTACTACGCTGCTGAAAGGACACAGACCCATTTTTCTCACATGGTCCTCTTTCCCTGCAGCACAGGGATTTTTTTTTTATGAGACTACTGATTTGCTTTCCAACTACCATTTTAAGACATGCTTCAAAAAACCTGCATTATTTGGAAGCAATTACTCGCCAATACTTTTGGGGGAAGCAGGGGATGCCAACTATCTATATATAAATGTATATAAATGTCAATTTTAGCTTATGTTTGTAGTTTACCACTTGCATTTCTCTGCATTTGTTACTAGTGGAAACCATGAACTTCTACTGTCTGTATAAAATCCTAGAAAGCTTAACATGGCAATATACCCAAGAGATTCATGGACTCTAAAGTGGAAAGGGACCAATCACCTACCTCGACAGCATTCGTCTACACTCCCAATGACTGAATGGATTTGTAGCCTCTGTTAATGTACTCTCTCCAGGATCCTTAATCACATCCAACATTAAATAATCTCTTCATTTAGGGGCTCTCAATTGCCAATACTTCCCAAAGCACAAGTTGTGTTCCACATAAGTATCCTTACCACCATCACTGGCTCCTGTGAATTTCAGCTTGCAACTTCAAGGCCAGTTGCAGAGATTAGTTTATGCCTGGAAAGCAGGATAAATATTACTTTGAAAATGATACTTATTGAAGTTGACATTTGCTCTGGAAGAGTTCACTCACAGCTTTGATGTTTGAGATAAACTTGTGAAAGGCTGAGGGGAAGGCACATTTTTCAAGCAGACACAGCAGGTGCTCAGAAAAATCCTATTAAGCACATGTAATATGAGTAATCAAAAGGCTTGGTCTTTCTCTCACAAGAAATTTATTTTAGACTTGGAGGAGAGGGCAAGACAAGAGGGTCACCTTTCATCTAATCCATGAGTTGTTTCATATTCAAAGTTGGAATCAGGTGTAAGAATACAGGTTATTTTATGGAAGTTGGGGGAAAGCTGTGAACTGTTAAAGATAAGGGGGGGGGAGCAACCTATAAATACCAGGAAAATAACCCCTGGTAAGTGAGAAGAAACTTTATAAACTTAAAAATGTAACTAAGTCCTTTAACTGCTAGCTCTTGAGGACCTCAGCAAGAAAAATCTGGGAAAAATGGTCTATTGATAAATACAGCCTAGTTACGGAAAGGTTTACATTGCTTACCAAGTGTTACTCCTCGTATATTAAGATAAATGAAGATGAAATTACTATCCTTATCAGGGGACACAAAATTGGTTTTCTAGCAGTGACTGAGTATGTTACATTGTTGGTACACTCTTGTTCTTACAAGTGATGGCACAAATGTCAGACAACTGGGCAAATTTGGCACGTTTTCCTCAGCCAAGTTGAACTAACCTATCCACAATTCAACACTGAAGTCTGGGCCTTATTAGCACTGTTTTAATCAACTGAGCTAAAAACAGCAGCTCACTTATGATACTGAGACTGTTGCTTACCCCTCTCCATGCCTCAAGAGAAACAAAATGATGGTTTCAAGCCAAGAAAAATATACAGATCACCTTAAAAACAGCTACAAAACACGCAGACAAAAAAAAATTACACCGGCAATCAGCGATAGAACTCAGAAGTCCCATTCCCTAGTCCACAACCCTCAGGTACACTTGTCCAAGCAAAACATGCTCGTATTTTCATCTATTATTTTCAGTTCACGTAGGTTTACATATTCCCTTGAACAGCTCCAGTAACAGCTACTACCCATACAAGTTCTAAACACTGTCAAAGTACCAGGCACCGTGCTAGATGCTGGCATACACTATGTCAAATTCTCACGAATAATGCTTGACACAGTAGTATCACTAGTAGGACACATTATCAAATATATTCAACAGGGAAACACAATCAAAGTGACTTGTCCAGGGCCACACAGCCAGTGAGAGGCAGAGCTAGGACCAAACTAAGGTCTGCCTGGTTTCAAAGCACATGCTCTTTCCACTACAGTACACAGTACTTCCAAAGACTCTTAGAACATCAGATGCCGAAGGAACCCTATCATATTAATAACAGCTGCCTTTGGTTAATCTACGATGTGCCCCATGCTTTAAATACCTGACCTCATCTTCTTACCACAATCAAGAGATGATATTCCCCTTTGGAGATAAGGAAATACTAGAGAAGTGCAAGGCCGCAGACTAGTAAATGCCTAGTCTGAGATTTAACTGAGGTCTGTTTAACTCCAACCTGATGTTATCTTGACCATGACCTCAAAGAAATCAGAATGACTCCGAAGTAGTCAACAATTCCACAGCATGCTATTTTTATGGGAAAGTGCAACGGACTGAGTATGGCTACAGGAAACTTACAATGCCACTAGACTCACAGAATTTCAGAAATGGAAGATAGAAATCTTAGAGGTGTACTCAAGCCTCATCATTCTGCAGGTGAGAAAACTGAAGTTCAGAGATTGAAAGTCACCTTTGAAAAAAGATGTAAAGCAACAGGGAGAACGTTGCAAGGGCACTCCAGGTGAAGGGTATAAACTCAAGAAAAGAGAAGCACAGAGGTCAAAATGAGCATGGTGTGTGCTTGAACTATAAGAATATACAATGTACTCTATGAAAAAGAAAAAAATAAAAGAATATTTCCACCAAGCTGAGTGGCCAAAGGACATAGCTTCTTTTCTTAAAAGTTTTTTTTTACAAGGCTTTTCACACAATCTCTCCATTAAATCTAGTATCAACCCTTTTTCTTATTTATCCTATTTAACCTTATCTAATACTTGATATGAACCTCTGTGCTATGGCTCAATTTTGTTTTAATTTTGTTTGCTGTCATCACTGTACTAGAGCATGAGAATATGAATTTATACATTTTTCTAGCCAACATCTTCTCGCCCAAAACTTACTTTGCTTTTTCTTACTTTTGTTTCTTTTCACCCTCTGGTGTGGAAGACGCAAAGCCTAAAGGCAAGATGAAACAAATCTCTGCATAAAACTCAAGAGTTCACAGAAATTTTTATTTTACTCCAAAGAGTACCAACTAAACCACAACAGTGTAAAGAATGCAGCCTCAGACATTTTATTACAAAATGTAGTACTGCTTTTAATTAGTGTGATATAAGGATATGCTAATCACAGACCAAATACTGAGTTCAACAGTCTGAGTTTCTCTAAGGAAAACTTTAATAAATTCTTCTCAAGGTAACAGCTTCAGAATAAGAAGTTTTTAAACACTTTAAATACTTAAGAAGTTTTAATTCCTAGTAACAAATGCTAGACAATTTACACACATTTAATTTATTTATGCTGGTTGTGTAATGACAGAGGAGGAAAAACAGAAAACAGTATATAACTTTCTGAAATCAAATAGCTTTATTTACTAGGCTCAGGAGTCATACTTTCAAAATTGTGAGGCTCCAAATTCAGGTGCAGCAGAGAGTGTTAATTAAGTTAATACTGGTATACTGACACCTTAGAGAAAAATCAAGTTTTCAGTTTATATATCAAACACATGCAGGGGAGCATTTAAAAATTCTATCCAGTGTCTCCGCCGGAACTGACTGTACTACTTCCAGTGGTATAACAACTTGTTTGCAATCCTATCTCAAGTCCTATCAGACTGGCAGACGCTAGGCTTGAAGCAACTGGGCCTAGTCCAAAACCTAGGCAGTGCAGATCACAGAGGAGATGCCTGGGAGAGTCAAGGTGTTGAGCCAAAGTAGAAGGAGAAGCCAAAAGTCACCTGAGACAGGCCAGAGAAGTCTAAGGTGTGTATGCATGTGTTGGGGGAATGGGCCGTATCCGAGAGTACTAAATGACAGAGAAGAGATAAAGGGTTCCTTAAAACGCCAATTCATCCTGAGTGAGGTGATGTGGGCAGTGCAAAAGCAAGGTTTGGCTCCTGAACCCAGGAGAACACAGACAAGACTATTTCACAGATGGGTACAGTAGGGTAAGGGTTTCAAATAAAGTCCCACAAGTAGTAAACAATGCGGTCAAGGCTGGCCTCCGAGCCCTTGCAGGGTCTAAATCAACCTGGCATCCCCCAGCCGCCCCGGCACAGTGCTCAGCACTTTGCAAACAACCAGGAACTATCTCAGAAAGAATGCCCCAAGTCTTGATAAACTTCAAAGTTCTTTGCAGAGAACTCGGCTTCGGGCCGGACAACACTAGGGGAGCCGGACGGGGGAAACCAGGCTGAGCGAGACCCGGAAAAGCCGGAGGTTTAGGGTCCGAGTCCGAGTGCTGGCCCTCCGCCCGACCACTGCCACTCACCCGGATGCCCTTCACCACGGTGATGTTCTCATTCTCGTCCGCCTCAAAGGTGACCCGGCGGGTGCTAGCCGTCCCGCCCATGGCTTCTGCTTCTGCCTCCACAGACACTTAGCGCGGCCTCACGAACACTACAGGCTCCACGGGCACACACGCGCGTGGACGCGCCCGGACTCTCGCTCTGCACAGCGGGAGCAAGGCCACGACCCCGAGAAGCAAGGAGAAGGCGCGGGTCCTGAGCTCCCGCCTCTTCCTGTCACGCGCCAAAACAAAAATGCCTCCGGTTGGTCGGAGATACAAACGGCCCGCCTCTTCACAGCAGAAGCGCTCGGGTTGGTTGGTGCGGACCCGGATGCTATGGCAACAGGCAGTGTTTGACAAGGTTTCCGGAGCCCCTGGGTATATTGGGAATTGTAGTCTCCGTCTGGCGCGATGAATGCTGGGACATTCTCGCCTTCAAATGGAGAGCGCCCCGGGAGCATGGCCTTATGGGAGTTATGGTCTTTACTGCCTGAAAAGTTTCTTACCGGGCAACTTTCAAGGAAGTTCATTCATCTGACAAAGCATGCTTTGAAGACAGTATTCTAGAAACTTAGGATAGCGAGCTGAAAGATACAATCTCCTTCCTAAAGGAACTCACCGTTTATTGAGGGGATGAACTCTCCTAATGGAGCGATTCCTAGATGCCTATAAAACAAATCCCTAAGGCAAAATGTAGCCTTTATTTTAGTCTTAGCCAGTAATAAAGTTAAAAAAATAAAATAAAAAAGAACACGTAACAGCAACAGCTGTATTTGCCCTATGGCTTTACTTCCTGAACTGTGTACTCTTTAATTTCTTTTTTGTAAGGTAAAATTTTAAGCATTATGGTTTTCAAATCTGCATATGAGAAAACAGAAAATCAGTTATTTGCACCAAGCATGCAGAACATTTATTTGTGTGTGTCTCCTTCCACTTCAGGTATATAATCGGATGAGGCAGAGAAAAGTGATTGCCAAAGACAGCATAAGTTAGTGGAGGAATTAAAACTGTATCAGACAAACTTGAGTTTTATTTTGGACAGTTGCTAGGTCAGTATTTCACCTCCACAAAACACATAAATAATATTTAAATTATCTACATACACATCCGAAAAAATATTTTTTACCAAATATTCTGTGACATATAAGTTTAGCCATATGACCTTAGTCTTAGAGAGGCATATGTATTCTCTTTAGAAATTAGATTAGTTATGGTACTATCTTCAGGTAGTCCCTTTCAACATTAAAGGCAGCCAGCCACAACACAGCATGGCATCCTTTTATTGCAAAGGTAAACACAAAAATGCCAGAACATTTCTTAGCTCCAATTATGTGCTGATTTATTAATGTAGAAATCTTTAGGGCAGAGACTATGTCATTTTCATTTCTGTATGCCTGGTCAGTGACAGAGTATTGAATTTATTACATGTCATCTTTTTGTTCTTTTCAACATATGTGTATCCAAAATGTACAATGCTACTTTGCAGTTTTGAGACGACATGTAACTTTGTATGTGTTCTCAAGTTGTATAATATGTTTAACCTTCCTTCTATAGAGAACTAAAAATCCCAGGAATTATATTTCTCATTTCTTTGGGACCTCCCCTCTACAAACACAGCCTCCTCATTTATTACCCCAACATATAGCATGTATTGAAGTTCCTACATAAAAGAGATGCTTAATAAATTCTTACCAAAATAACTTATTATAAAGAAAGAGTTTCTTGGAGAGAGTAGAGAGATGAAGGTACAATTAATTATCTTGAAGATATTTATCTCCTTAAAATATTGAATGAGTTCTTCCAACCAAATAAGATGAGAAGGTAACAGAAACATGTAAGTGGTCTTATCAGACAATTTAATAATACTTAATATATACAATACAATATTTTTAACTCTAGTGGATTTTGAAAGTCCACATCACAAGAAAAAAAATTGTAACTATGTATGGTAGACAGACATTAGCTACAATTATTGTGCTGATCATTTCACAATATACACAAATATTGAGTCATTATGTTGTACTCCTGAAAATAATGTAATATTGCATGTCAGTTATACCTCAATTTAAATGTTTTAATTTAAATAAATTAAATATTTTATAATTCATAATCTATTCCAATCAACATTACAAAGAAACCTTCTAAATTTTAAAAAAATACAACTTATCTTGGAAAAATGCCTACTATAACAATAGTATTCTATCCGTATCTGTTTCAAAGCCAGGCCACACCTACAGCCTCTTCCAAAGAAAATTTCTTGAGATAACCAGAATCTGTGGTCTCCATTTCTCTCTGACCACAGCTTATTAGTGATCATCTAACCAAAAGGCAGCACTTATTAGCCAGAGAGCTATGAACCAGAAAGCAAAGGAAACAAAAATAATAGTTAACACTGGAGATAATTAGATTTTCTGTGTCTTTTTCCCTTTTCTCTCTCTATTTGAACTTGAAAATTCAGAGCATAGGAAAAGACAGCAAAGAGAGAAACTATGACACTGACAAAACCATGAGGCATCATAGCAAACTAAAGTTAGATGGAAATAGACACTGTAAGAAGAAAAAGTAGAATAAAAGGAATGAAAGAAGAATAAAAGTGGAAAAGAAGTAAAACTATCTCTGCTTGTAGATAATATGTTGTGATAAATAGAAAAATCCCAAGAAATCCACTAAGATCTGTTGGAACTAATGTTTTTAAAAGTTCAGCAAGGTTGCAAGATACAAAATCAACATACAAGAATCAATTGTATTTCTGTATACTAGCATAACAAGCCAAAATTAAATTAAGAAAACAATGTCATTTATAACAGCATAAAGTCAACTCAAATGTTCATTAACTGATGACAAGATAAATGAAATGTAGTACATCCAGACAATGGAATATTATTCAGCAATAAAAAGGAATGAAATACTGACATGTGCTGCAATATGGATGAACTTCAAGAACATTATGCTGAGTAAAAGAAGCCAGACATAAAAGACTACATATGGTATGATTCCATTTAAATGAAATGTCCAGAACAGGCAAATTTATGGAAATTTCAGTAGATTAGGCTTGCGAGAGGCAGAGAGAGGGTGAGATGAGAAGTGACTTCTAGTTGGTATTAAGTTTATTTGAGGGGATTATAAAAATGTTCTATAATTAGATTATGGTGATAGTTGCCTAACTCCATAAATATACTAACACACATTGAATTGCACACTTAGAATGAATGGACTTTATCATATGTAAATTACATATCAATAAGGCTGGCATAGCTAACCAAATATGATAGAAGTTGATTTAGCATTCAGTGAAGTCCAAAATGGGCGGCAGGGGGCGGGGGGTGGCGATTTTAAAAGAAAAAGAAAGAAACTGGGAAACTTCAAGGTGCAAAAAAATAAGCTAATCAAAAGAGAGACCACAATGAAACAGACCTTCAAGAATTAGCTTAGCCCTACATGTAGCAGAGCACTGGAGTGAAGAACCACAGGTCCAGAAGCTTCTAGAGTTGCCTGCGATTCAGAAAGGCCTTCCAACAGTAATGGCTGTTGGCTGTTTTGTAATGGCTGACTCAGTCAAAGCTCCTAGTCTTCCTGAGGCCCAGCTGTTCCATGCATCCTAGGTTCTGGGGCATCTTACCAAGGAACCTTCATAATCACATGAGGTCTACCCAAATGTCTACAATAATATAACATAATATTTTCTTCAGTCTCCAGCCAAGAAACCAGCACCCTAAATAAAAACATTGGATGTCACAGTTTCCTTGGATGCAGAGTGGAGAGAGTGGAGAACTGAATTTGATTCTTCACCAATCTTAGCTTGGCCATCGAGCAGTATTACCTTCCAACTCCTTCATCTTGAGATATTTCTTACTTTCTCACCATGTGAAACCTTTGGAATTAATGCTGCAGATCAACAGAAATGAAACAAATAAATAAATGCTTTCGCTGTCAAAATTCCAATCATCCCTAATGCCCCCTTCCCCAGGAAAAAAATTCACCTAGACTTCCAACTCACTCTAACAAACACAATTCCAGAAGGTAGAAGGTTTACACTACGTACTCTGATTTTTTCAATCCCAACTTTAAACAATAAGTTGCAGAAGGTGAAATCCTGGTGGTCCCTCTTCTACCTGTCTCCATACATCACTTGAGTATCCCTGAGATACTATTTAGGAGTGAAGGAAGAACAGATGAGAAGGAGGGGCAAAAACAGAAAGAAATGAACTGACATGATGAATTCTCAGGAAGGAGACACCCATTCCTGGTCCCCAGCTAGAAAAGCTAATCAGTGTGTTCATAGTGGCCCTCCCCCAGCTCTATTGAGTAGCATTCCAGCCGTGCAGTGAGGCACTCAGACTTTATGACCTGTGCTGAAGTAAAATATAGGTATAACCATCATGTTTTCTGAGCTAAAAATTAGAGTGCATGAACTATTATTTGTATACTGACAAAGACAATTAAATCAGACCTTGAAATCAGGATCATCCTAGAAAATCTAGGACATATAGTTGCCATAGTTATAGCAAACCAGTTTCAAAGGGCTTCTTACATAGTACAATCAACATAAGGACATTCTAAAAAATATGGACTAAAACTTATTCAACAAGCCATAACAGGACATCAGCCTTAAAGCTTTCCCCACCAATTATTGTATGTGGACTCATATGAAAGCAATGAAACCCTAAAACAGTAGTTCTCAGTGTGAGTGTATAGGTGTGGGGGGGGCACACATGAGTGCACTTACGTGACATTTTGCATATAAGAATTTTGTGCAGCACACATGAGTTTAAAAAACCCAAAATAGCATGAAACAAGTCATCAATAATTAGAAGTACAATATAACCATGTTTTCTCTGTGTCTTTGAAAGTATACCCAGTAATGGCACAAATCTCACGGTCGCCCTTTTGTATCTCATTTACTGCACAACCCATGCATCTAGTAAAATCATGACGCTTCTTAGTACCCTTTGCTACTAATTTCTTGTTCATAATAAATTGTATCTGTTGTGCCTCATTGTGTCATAGGATGGGCTCTGATGACCACCTGCTTAACAGACGTGCAGCCAAAATAAATTTTACTCATGGACTATAACTTGGCAATGCACCAAGAAAATTTCCTAGCACCTCTGGCATAAAGATTATTCTAGAGTAATGTCTCAGCAAATTTATAGCAGATTTCTAAAAGGCCATTCTCTGCCATTTCCTGGACATTCTGCTGTTCCTTTTTTTCACTTTTATGTTTTTTTTTCCCCTTGATTCCTCATTTCTTTTCTCCCTATCCTATGCTCATCAGAATA